GGGGGGGGAGGGCGGGGGACGCGGTCTGAACCTTAGAAACGAGGTTGGACAGCGACTTGTCTTCCTGCACTGTGAGTGGAGATGGCAAGCTCTAGGGTGCAACAATATGGCCTGCTCGTCCTGCTCATCCGCCAGACGGAGTTGGCAGCTCCACCTCACTCCTCCGGCAACTCCGTTCGGCAGGGGCCGAGTCCCTAGCATGCGCTCCAGTGTTGGGGGATTGTCTGTTCCTTCGTTCGTAAGGCGCCGTGGCCCCTGCAGCCCTAGAGAGTATCCCGCAACACTGGAGATCACTCAAAGATACACTCTTAGCAGGGGTTGACGACCAAAAGGGGGAAAAAAGAAAAAATAGAAACCATCGAACCACTTTCTCATACTTTATGATCTGCCCCCTTTCATCCCCTTCCGAATCTTCCAGAAAGTAGGTCCGTTTTTCTCAGACTCATTCGGCAAAACACGGCAGCTCGGCGCCTGCGAGACTTTGGGTAGACCAACCCGCAGTACACACATGCACTGCAGTCAAGATGTTGCCTACCTATCAGGCGCTTTGAGAGCTTACAAAGGCGGCAGAGCGAGCATCGGCATGCCTACATGGCGTCCGAAAGCGATTGAAGTGAGAGGGACTATGGCCCGGCGCGAGCTTCTCACTCCCACTGCCGCTTTGCTCGCTCGCTGCAAGGAGGGAAGGCTAAACTTGGCAAGTTCGTATAACGGCAAATAATCGCCGTAGGCCGCAGACGCAAGAGCGGGGTAAAAAATAACTCACTATGGTGTGTATGGGAGCGCTAACAAAGGCATTCTGCGGGCTTTCGGCGGGGCGAGACCCTTGCATCCATGACGGCGGCAGCGTGCGTGCCACTGCGTGCGTGCGCAGACGCCTCCCCCTTCCGAAGGCCGATCCCGACACGACGGCTACAACAATTACGCCGGGCGGGAGCGACTATTAAGTTAGTAGACTTTGAGCGGGAATTAATCAGGACCGAGCACTTTTCGTGTTAGTTGCAGCCATCTCCTCCCTTCCCCTGGCCGTCCTGACGAGCTCTCCCCTGGCACACGCTGGCACGGCCGTGATCTGTATGCCCGGCGCTTGGCCAGGGCTGGCCTTCAAGTTTCAAGTTCGTGACGCCGACCCAGCGGTGGCGGCGACGACGATGCGACGCCCAGCCCCCAGGACCGAGGCCAGGAAGGACGAGCCAAGCCTCGCTTCCAGATCCTTCGCCCCTACTGTCCTGTCCCCGTCCACGGCAATGTATTGGTGGACCGTTCCTCTCAGACCTCCAAACAGAACTAAACAGAACAGGGTAAAGTGAGACAAGTAAAATCTGTGTCGAGTCCACGGCTATGTGACTAGCATGCAATGGGATCAAAATATAGCAGTTAACGACATTTGTTGCAAATAAGATTTAAGAACATTACTTAAACTTGACCACATACATAGAGTGAAATAAAAAAATATAATCAACAGTACAATTTTTAAAAGAATTTAAAACGATAATAAACAATGATTTGGATGATTCAATTGACAACTCAAAGGGGTAATTGCTAATGGGCTGGTGGCAGATGCTGCTCATCTGGTAATGGTTGAGATGGGGCTGGGACAGAGAACAACATCTTCAAATCATCCAGTGTAAGTTTGGATGTTTGAGTGTTCCTAGTGCCAGTGAGCACGCTATCTGCAATGCTAAGTTTGTAATCTTGCAAACTTTTAATCCTCTCTTCAATGGTATTGATTGTTATCAACCTGAGATTAGAATGATAGAGTTAGTATAGAAGTTTCAGATAATGAATAAAAATTGAGAAAAATCAAACATTGCAAACCTGTAAATATTCACATCTTTTTTCTGGCCAACTCTATAAATTCTATCACAAGCTTGGTTTTCTAATTGAGGATTCCAATGAATGTCAACTAAAATCAAGTGATTTGCTCCAATTAAATTCAAGCCAACTCCCCCAGCAGTCAGTGACAGAAGCAAGATCTGTAAAAATTTAACAATCAGAAAAAACAACAAAACAGATTTTAAAACACATTATTTACAACAGTTCGCCCGAATAATTTTATACCTGAGGTCCGGAATGTGGTTTATTGAATTCATTGACAATTTCCTGCCTTTTGTCAACAGGCACTTCACCAGTAAGGCTATCAAACTTAATTTTTAAGTCTTTCAAAAAGGGAGATATAATATTCAGCATGGATGTCCACTGAGACACAATTATAGCTTTATCATCAGTATCAGCTATCTTTTCTTGAACCAAATCTAAAATAGCTCGGATCTGTTTATAAGTAAAAATAAATTTTATTTGTCTTTCAAAAAGAGAAAATACTATTAAAACCAGGACGGAAAAATTAACCTTTGCACTAGGTCGTTGAAAATCAAGAACAGGGTTATCCACAGAAAGTTCCACAGATTTATTCAAATCCTCTTTCTCAACATCCTCAATGTTGGATTCCGAAATGTTGAGTTTGTTCATTTGGTTAAAGAGATCTACATCCAAGCCATTATTGTCCTCAACTCCTTCAGCAGTACCCATATCTAGATCCCCATCTTCAACCATCTGTTAAGATAAAACAAGTTTAGAAAAAGCAAAGCAAGAGGCTACTGGTACATTCAGAATATGACAAGTTCCAAACCTTTTTAACCAAGCCAGGATGATTACAAATTTGTCGTAGCCTAAGTAAAAGGACCAAGATCTGGTGAGTCTTGATGTCCTGTATTCCTTTAAATTTCCTATGCATCTTGGCAAGCTCTTCAGTTGTGACAAATTGATTGTCTGGTCCCTCTGAAGAGAAAATGTTTCATAAGCAAAAGATTTGTTTTACAACAGATGTGAGAATAAAACTCAAAACACATTTACCTTGCTGCTCCCAAGCTGGTTTAGAGGAAATGCCATAACGAACATCAAGGGCTTGCTGCTTTTCTGCCCTTTGAGAAAGAAACTGAGCAAACAAGGTACTTGAAAATATTGCTACTTTCTCATATATTACTAGTTCTTCGGGGTCCAGATGAATATCAATTCTCTCATAAAATTTGGCTGGTAGACAGTCCAAGTCACCTTTTGCATGCAACTGTTCTTTGGTGCGTCTCAACATTAATGATTTCATCATGGTATTGAGTCGCTGCATTCCTGCTGCATTTTTATTATCAACCCATCTTTTCCATACAGTCAAATCATCAAATGGGGAACAGCGTAAGAATTTCAGCAGTGCATACAAGTCTAGTTCTTTGTTCTGAATTGGTGTACCAGTCAGACACCATCGATGCTTGCCAGTCAATTCACAAACCCCTAGAGCCATTTGACTCTTGTGATTTCTCACCATGTGAGCTTCATCAAGGATTATACGATTCCACTTGATCAAAAATAATGGTCCTTGATCTCTCTTTACAGTAGCATTTTTAGCACTTTCAATTCCACTTTCCCTGCTTACCAAATTGTAAGTTGTAATTATTACATCGTAATTGGCAAGACGACGAGGTTTAGTTTCACGTTTAGGTCCATGGTAGAGCTCAACTGAAAGAGCCCTTCGCTTTACTCGTTTAAGAATTTCCCGTTCCCATTGATTCATCAAACTAGCAGGGCACACAACAAGGGTGCCTCCCTTTGGCATTCGTGAATACTTCTTGCTCATCCACTGTGGTGAAGAATCAGAATCGGAGTCAGTGTCATTACTGTCATTCTCTGACTCCTCTTTCATTTCTTGAGACTTCAGAATTAATGAAATCATACTTATGGTTTTGCCTAATCCCATATCATCAGCAAGTATTCCACCGGATGGTCTTTCTTGTTCTCTCCACAACATCCATGCAAGTCCATGCTTTTGATGAGGCAAAAGTTCTACTTTGAGATTTCGTGGATCTTCAGCCACTGTCTCTTCTGTTGGACAGGACTTCAGAGCTTGATGAAGAGAGGAAAGGGCCTCCAAGGTGAGAGCTTTTTCTGCCAAATGTGTCTGCATAGCTAAAAAAATAAAAATAGAGAAGATTTTAAAAAGAGCAAATTACATGGTTTGGTGTAATGAGCAGCACAAGCTCTCTTCGTCCATATGCTTGGATTGGATTGACATGTAATCTCAAAATTACAAAACAGGAGATCAAGAAAATGAATAATTCATTATTAGAACTAAGCCGTCATCAATTATTTCTTTCTTTTGAACTAACTAAAGCCTAAAATACTTAAGTAAATGTTACCTTTTTTCCCGAATCCGGAGATAGTCATGTCGGGTTTGGGTAGGTCTCCCCAACTTGGTGCGAGAGAAGGTTTACTCTCTGGGCTGAAATCATCATCTACTGAATTAAAACTCCTATAATCTTGATTAGGTTCAGGTTTAATATTTTTGGTTTCATAATCTAAACTTCTGACAGCATCATTGAGTTTTGACTTTAAATTTTGAAAGTTAAGAGTAGTTTGCTTTGTAGCAGAAACTGGAATTTTGTTTTGCATTTGTTCTAGACCTGGAAGCAAAATATTTATTAAAATCAAAATAAAACAAGAAGAGTACTGCAGTCAGGCCATTCAAGTCCAAAATACCTTTCTTTTGACGACTATACTCTTCATTGGAATGAAGCTCATCTTCAAGTTCAGATTTGCGTTTCTGTAACTCTGCTACTTTATTCATTAAATTCCTTCCCTTATCTGGCAGTGTATTAATATCTATAGTGTCAAGCAATGTTTGTTTTACCATGACATCATTGTTGACAGCAGACAGTTCCCCAACAATAACTGCAATATCGCGCTGATTGACAAACTGTTGTAAAATAATAAAATTACATTACTTCTTTAGATAAGAGAAAACAAAAAAAAAAATTCCTGTCAATAAAATTTTAAATTTGGTACTTCTAATACCTGTCTTGTAGCTCCAACAGGTGAATTTTGAAGGGAAGAATCAGATTGAGTGAGGTCAATCACGTTGGTTCTTGGTCTGTCAGGAGATGGAAGCTGAGTGACATCTTCATTCTCTGACTGAGTAGATTCAATATTATTATCATCTTCAATTAAACTGGCACCACTAGCAGAATTTGTGTGGTGGTCATCAGGAGTGACACTACCAGGAGTATCACGGGCATCAGCAAACACATTAACTCTTGAGTTATTCACAGGTTGACTTGAATCATGATTTTTTTCAGAGACTTCAGCAGAAATGTTGTTTTGAGAATTATCGGTGTATTGAGGAAGCTCAGCAGATGAGTTATTCGCAGAAAATGCATTGAGCAAGCTACGATCAGTATTACTATGAGAATTGTGCACATTTTTACTGTGACTGTTTCCAATTGGAGATGAGTGATGAATAGATTCCCTCTTTAACGGGCTTTCTTGAAAACTCAAGTAAAGAGATTCACTACTTTCATTCTGTTCTGTAGCTTGGCCTCCCAAGTTCTTCCTGGTTAAGCTTTTGCGGAGTAAATTTGAGGACTTAGCCGGTTTGAAAGACGCTAAAACTGGTGATTGCCCAACTATTGATTCTCCTGAAGAAGAATTTGGGGATGATGGTTTCATATCCGCTTGGTCAGAGTCAACTGCTTCAGTATCTTCTGATTCAGAATCACCTACTTCATCATCTCCTGATTCAGAATCACCAACTTCATCACCTCCTGATTCAGATTCACCTACTTCATCA